GAATTCCTATGACATTATACATGGATATAAACCTCAGTGAATATTATACATCCGTGAGAAAACTCATTTTCAAATGAGACTCTAGTGTTTACCGCAGTCAACAAAAACATCTCAAGCAAGATCACATATGTACTTTACCATCTGCTACAAAATTATTATTATTATTATTATTATCATTAGGGCTAGAAATGATTCTGCAGGTGCAAATTTATAAAATATGCATTTCATCTAAATAAATCTGTTCATGTAATATCTTGTAGGTCTAATGAATATTGGCAGTTGGCTGTTCATCATAGAATTTATGAAAATTTTCACATAACAGTGATTTTAGTTACTGCGCTTAGACTATTTATTTTAACCTTATCATGTATTGCTATCTGAATAATTCTGGCTTGCAAAGGAGACTGTCGTGAAATTTCACCTCGTACCGTGTAAAATGCAAAAAAACGAACTCAAGTTTCAGATCTGATCTAGTATATTATCAATTCACCCAAGTAGGTAGCCAGAATTCGGGGGGAGGGTTGATTTAATTCACCACTCTGAGCTGATGATCTCGAACTCAAACGATCGAGGCGGCCAGCTGGTGTTTATATCACTTCTATCCAGCTACTAAGTTGTGTTTTTTCTAATTCCTTTATGTTTCCAGTGGAAAATAGGACTTCAAGCTAGAGGTTTGAAGTTTCTGTAGCAGTGGTGGTTATTTTTACAGGATGGGGTTGCTAACCTTATGCCCAAGCTTCACTCTTCACCAGTCTTATTACTGGCCTAGTGAGGTAAAGGAGTGAGTCGGCCGGAGCTCGAACCCATCACCTGTCGTTTCAGACACTAAATAGTCGTCTACTAGATCCCTTGGTAAAGAGTTACTTTTTGTGTAATGCGTATTAGCTTTTATTCATTAAATGTATTATTTTAAGTTACGGTGCATTCGTTAAAGACTTTAGGATAATACCACTCATCGTTTACCTAAACTGCTGTTTAATTTTAAGCTCTATCACCAATTGGTCAAGTTAAAGTACTGCTGAAAAACTGGGAGTACTAGACGGTTGTCTTGTGTTTGTTTAAGACTCTTCATCAGTGTACACCTTTGATTCCACCAGGCATAGAAATCCCGGTCTCAGGGTTAGTAGAGAAGCTCACTGACCATTCATCCACTGGGATGAATTCTAACTTTTACAAACTCGCAATTTTTAGCGCCACACTACCAGCCACTGTCATCAGTGGTGAGTATGTGCTCCTCGCATCCAACCTGATGAACACCACTGGTCATGACTTCCCAACAGAATTTTGTCTGGTAGTTAGACACTGATAAGAAAGAGAATAACATGCTCACTAGTGACTTGCTCTATTCAGGTAGGTAGTTACCTGGGTGTACGAGCGCACCTTGCAACCAGAAGGTCGTGGGTTCAAACCTTGAAGGTGAGTGCGTACTGTTGGAGAGTCCCAAACTAGGCTGACGAAACAGTTAGCTGTTCTCTAAGCGACGGAAGTCTATGCAGAAGTCCTGTAACTTGCAAGTATTAGTTTGTAGAGAGAACCAATTTTCAAAAAGTTCTCTAAATGACATCAATCTTTGATCGAACTGCGAACCTGTGAAATCCCTACAAACCATCATTTTATATGAATTGTTTACAAATTCAATTTTATAACTGTATTCCAAAGGTTTATCTCTTCTAATTGAATTATAATCATTAAAATTTAAATGCGAGAGAATTGTCTAAGCAGATTCACTTAATACAAAGATAGACGAAGTCACCCCACGTGTAATTAGCTAAATGAACATGAGATAAGAATTGTTTTCCCATTGTAAAAACAGTTTTTCGATATTTCTATATAGATAGATAGATAGATTTATAAATGAATAGAGATTTTTCAGACAGATATCTAATAAATTTCTTCTTATTTCTTTTTTTTCATTTTATTTATCGGTTTGCCTATCCATTCGACTATTTGCCTGTTTCTTGTATTATCAGCATAATGAAAGAAAAGAGAGAGAGAAAAAAAGGGAATTTTCCCTTGGGCAGTATAAATTCTCAACATCATAAGTGAATTAGAGTAGTAGTGAATGCTGACTCAGTTAGTTGTCTTTCCTTTAGGGAGTAGACGTACACCCACTCTAAAGTTACCTTTTCTAGCTAGTAACGGAGTAAAGTGACTAAGTATATATTTATATAGTGAAGTATTAAATTAAACCAGCGAAATAAACCAATAAAACATGTCGAATATACTCTGACCAGTATTCATATAATTGTCTGCTTTCATAAAGGATGCATTAAAAAAATGCCCTCTGCATGTGTGTTCGTGTGTACGTGCTTGCTCACACTTGTATCTATCATCAAATCTTAGTGACTCATTCGTCTCTGAATTTTCTCACACGCACTTAACTGCTACTACTAGTACTACTACTACTACTAATAATAATAATAATACTACTTTTTCTTTTGGCATTTTTTTTCGGTTCACTTTTTTCTTCATCTGAGAACAAGGTTCAATTGCAGCATTCTGTTTCTTATAACCCGTCTCTTTTCACAAAAATAAGAAAAAGTCTTATTTCCCGCCGCTTACAAGATTAGTCATTGGACAAATAAACATTCCCTACTCAATGTTCAATGCTATAGTTTTCAAGTACTTCTCACATTAACCTGTTCTAATCTGATTCACTTGTCGAAACATTTATCCATCGTTTATACTCAAATAAGTGTGTGTATGTGTGTGAATTCCTCAAGTGTTGTGGAAGTGTATTCCTTAACACAAGTATTGTATAATACTTCTCCATCTATGTATACCAAATAAGAAGAAAATGCCTACTCACACACATAATTGAATAAGTTAAATGAGATACCGTGATTATGGTGATGATGATGATGTGAATGGATTAAACGAGATGAAATTGAATTTAGGAGTAAATCCTCAACTCAAACAAAAACAAATGCAGGTACTTGAAGTTTGTTGAAGTTTAAGTAACCATATTACTGTCTGCCACCCTCTCCATTCAAATTATTCACTCATATCATTCTTCTTCAAGATCAACCGTGAAAATTGGTCTTCCAGTGCTTATGGTAATTAAATCAAAATTAAACTCATGGAATAATTTGTTTTATGCATTTTTTCTTAGCAAAGAATTTATCTGTAGAAAACAGAACATGATAACATAAACATAACTGATATCGATACTTTACTGAAGAGTGAAAATAATAAAACCCTATTCAGTTAGTAGATGTAAGGACGTTAGTGTTCGGTAACTCATAGGCAAGAGCTTTTATTATGTGCATGTAATCTCTCCAAGACCTAGTTTGCAGGGAGTTCATTTGTTTATAGTCTGACTGCGGATTAATATTATCTAGTGAACCACTGAATACTGGGGAGTACTGGACAGCTGTTTCATTCTAGTTTGGGACTGAATGGTCTACGAGCTTGACTTGTAACCTGGAGGTTCTGAGTTCGACCACCAGTGGGTGAGTACTGCCGATGAGTCCCAAACTAGGATGAAAAAACTGTCGATTACCCCACTACTGGTTTTCAATGGTTCCCTATGTGATACACACAGTTCCTTCGCCTTCTAAAGGGAACATAAAGCTTCAAGCTTTAAAGTTTCGGTTACAGGTGTTTTTTTACTGAGTGAGGTCGCTATTCTCATGCTTAACCTTCTGTGGTTAAAGGGCTTACTACCGGTTAAGCGTGATTTTGAAGTGTATTAGCCGCGAATCGACAGAATTCTTCTACCGAACCACCGACTTAGTAGATTATCCGCTTACACTTCAGAGTTACTAGAAAGATAAATAGAATCACTTAAGAAACCGTTACGCTGTAACAAGTCACGGTAACACAATTACATACTAATTAATATATTCGTCTTTTCGGTTTCGAGTGAAACACAGACCTTCAAGAGCACATCCACACTTTACTGAGTCCTCTGCAGTCTTTTTTAGATAAATCCACTACTTCCCACTACATCTCCTCACATATTCTTCTCCATGAAACCCTTGTGTGCCGAAGATGTCTTTTACCATTCGAGGTGTACTTGGCCTATGGAGTGTATCGTGATGGCACTCAATGGGCTTCTCAGTGTGTGTCTAATCTATCTCAATTCATTTCCTGCGACGTATTTGTTCGGCCGAAGGTTCTTAGTTTGTTTGTTGCACCGATAGAATTCGTTGTAACTTATCCTTTCTGCAAGGTCATCCAATCTTCAGTATCGAAACAGTGAAGTCATGGTATTTGTGGAAGTCTGCAGTAGACTTCTGGAAACGCTTTTCATCACGCATTTGTAACAGGTCCTTTGAAAATCATTTGGAAGCACTTACTGACTTAACATCACTGCTGAAAACTCGAATCATGTTTCTTGTGATGGCTGTTACAGATCTCTGCTTGCATGTCTATCTATCTTGCTTTCCCAGGTTAAGCAAGTATCCGAGACGACTTCCTATAGAAGTTTTTAATGACCAATTGTGTCTTAGCTTTGCTACTGGTATTCAAAGGTTACTGTCATCGGAAACATTTAAATTTTATTAGTTCCCAATAAGTTTCTAGAAACCCACTGGAGGTGAAACACAAACATTTATTTAACATATATTTAACAATAGAAGTTGATGTCATTGAGTCTAGAGAAGTCGAGAGTGCATAATTAATTAAGTTGACTATTTTTCAAAACTGGAGTTTACGACACCTTTTCAATTACCACAAGTTTTCTACTGAAGCATAGTCAGCGATTGCGAGGGAGAACGCTCGCCAACCATGCAGGTGGATCGGGCTTCGATCCCCAGCCAGAGCACTCCTATACCTAGCTAAGTTGGTTATAAGACCGGTAAGGAGGGAAGCCTGTGCTTGAGGCTAGCAACCCCAACCGTTCAAAGTTTTAGTTTAAAATCCTATGTTCCTCTGGAAACGCAGAGGAATGAAATAATAATAATAGTACTTAAGCATCATTTTACGTATAAATTACTTTATAGTCAGAGCAAAAATATAGTGGTGCATTATTATTGTTTTTAATAAATTTAGCTTACTTATTTGCAGATGATCCGACTCCACCACCGACTAATCCAGCCGCTGAAACTGCCGCGGCTGCCGCTTGTAAACCGACAACACCACCATGTACAGGAACATCTTTATTACTGTTCTGTTCACTTAGCTTCGTAGTATTGACTGTTCTTGACGACGATTTGTCTGAATTCCGATCCACTTCAACATTTGATACTTGGTCACATTTTATCAGATAAACACAAAATATGTACAAAAGAGTCAACTTGAGGTAGTGGCAGCAGTGATCAGTTAGCTTGCGTTTCATCATTCCTCCCTGTCTGTCACTGAGTTGAGTTGAAATTCAGGCTTATTCTAGATAAAAGAATCGAAAAATGAGTGATAAATAAATAAATAAAAATAATTCTCTTCTTGTTCCCTTATCAAATCAATATGTGATTAAAAAACAAAAAAATTGTTACTAGTTCAATCAAGATGTAAATTTTTTTTAAAAAAACATCAGTGTTCAGATGGGTGTTGTTTATTGGTTAAGTCTTTGAGAGAGAGAAAAAAAAATGTCACTTGTTATTGTGAAATATGAGATGTTGTTAAACACTGCTTGATAATTGATATTGTACTGTCGAATTTTAAGACAGAACAAAGTGATGAAGTTAATCAACCGTGAACAAGAAAAAGAAAAAGAAATTTGAGGTGATGAAATATTATTTATTGATCAGGAGTTTAAACTCTACTCCTTAGTTGTCTTTTTTCTTTGTGACTAGTGTTCATTGTAAACTGGTGTGCAATTGTAACCTCTGACTAAATAACTACAGAGTCAGGCGAAGGTGGTTAGTGTTCATCAGCTCATCTTTTGCAATTGATTGGTTACCTTCTAAAAAATTTGAATACCAAAGGATAGCAATGAAAATTGATTCGAAAGAGGACAAACTTAAATCTTATGTAATTTTTTTCTTTTATTCTTTCATGTCCCAAGTGGAACATAGTGGAGATTCAAGCTTTGAATACGCCTACATCTTATATGTTTGCTTCCACTGAAAGGAGAATAATTAGTCAACTACGTCATCTGTCGCCGACTCGGGTAGTCTTCACGATTAAAACAGAGTATAAGTGTTTTCAATAGAACGGTTACTGAACAAAGAATATTCTTTTCGATAACCTGCTCTTCATCAGATTCTACAGTTATATAGACATAACAGTGAAAGAATTAGCGTTACTTACAACATTAATGTCGTCTAAACAACATCGAATCAATAATTATATGAATGGATTACAGTTCGATAGCATCAACATAACAGTATCGGAAGAATTAGAAAGATAATAATAAAAATTCATGAATTTATGGCCTCTACTAAAGGCTGGCCAGGGGAGTAGTAGTGGCTGGACTTGCTATTCTAGGTGAATCGCGATAGCCTCTGCTGTTTTGAGTATGCGGTGCTTGGATGTTTATGGCAATTTGTTTGGTACTTGGTAGATGATACAGTAGGATTCTTCAATGCTGGCTTTGTGTCCGGTTTAGACTAGGTGGTCTAATGTCGAACTGTTGATGGTTTTTACTACACCTTTATTTAGCCACACCAGTAGATGTTCCCGAGCGAGCACAAAAATCAAGTTCCTAGAGCAACGGTCAATATAAAAAATAATTTCTCCTATGCTTTTGTGGGATCTGCTTTTATAGGGTGACGTTCCTGACTTCACACCCAACCATTCTTCTATTTCAGGCTACAGTAAACAACAGACTTTTAATAAAACCGCTTTTTGTAAACAACTTTAGCAATGTATAATTAGTGATTTGTTGCTTAATATCTGCATTTTTTTGCCTTCACAAGGAAATGACTTGAAGTCGCTTTACTGAAAGGTTATTATTCATTATCATTATTTTATTAATTTTTATGCTCATTAATCTTATCTTATTTCTTAGTGAGTGACATACCGCCTCGCTAGCGGTCTCAGATTGACATGTCGGCTCCTTGTGCAGATGCTTCGACGATGTCTCATTACTTAACTCGAAGTCAACTAGGAAAAGCTGAGCACCTCGGTCCAGTCGGTCAATGGGAAAGTCCAAATTGAGTTAGATAATTTGTAAAATCTCAGCGATATTGAAATGAGTAATTCCAACGTTTCGTTCGGAAATCTGGTCCGAACTTCTTCAGGGAAATTAATCGAAATTAACATAACAGGTTTATATATAAAAGGAACATCTTTTGTTTTTAAAAATTTTGTTCAATCATGATTCATAAAACAAATATTAACAAGTATAATAAACAAAATTGTACAAATATAATTTTTTACAAATGTCTACTTCTCACTCGGCGCCCAAATATTATAGAACTATTCTGTCAAATCTTGACTACAGTTCATTTGATTGAGTTAGATAATTACTGATACCCGGTTACACAAGAAGTAGCCCTTGTAGCCAAAGTAGTCTAGTTGATAACGCTTTGGCGCTTGAAACTACGGGTACTGGGTTCGAGCCTCAGCGAAAATACCATCACTCACTTGGGAATGCAAGCATATGCAGATGACGAGTCTCAAACAGGACGAAATGCGCGTCATCCTGGATTCCACTGCCAATCACCATCTACTAAATTACTTCAATATGTCATTTCGTGGTATTGATGGTATTTTGATTGACATCTTCCTATTTCAGTTACTTTTCTGCCATCAGGTAGTTCTCATTCTACGAGAAAATGTTTCCTCTCATATCGGCTAAAACCTACAGATATGCAAGTTTTCATGTGTTACACGGCTAAGATAATTTCACTTTGCATCAACAAACTATATCTTACATGCAAAGAAGTGAGCTTTTTGTTCCAGTATCTTTGTGTAGTGCCCTGGGGTTGTACTTATTGGACACGCTTCAGAATAAAACAAAGTTTGTTTTGATATCATTCACTTCAGCCGACGTGTGCTGTAGTGTTGATCATTGAAAGCTATTTTCTACTAATTTTCTGATGGATCTACCACAGTATATTATTACTATGCTAGTATGAATCTAATCCCGTGACATTTCTGTGTGTGAAAAAAAAGTCAACAATAAGGCGGGATTCTACTAATCTGACAAGCAAAAAAAAAATAAATAAACACCACAGTTGGTTACAAGTCATAAAGTGTAAATTGACTAGCGCTACAACTATTTTTCATGTTTGCCGTTCACTAAAAACAGGCAACACACAGAGTTAAAACTTATAAGACATTATCCAAAACAGAATAAAAGGGTCAGTAAATCACTGACACGTTTTTGTCATTTAGAACACTTAAGTATATAATGATAATGGAATTATTAGTATAACTATTATACGAAATAAGTGACTTTGATTAATAGCACACAGTTCAGGTGAACTGTGTCTACAAAAACGAACCTGTGATATATATATATATATGTTCCAGTGACAACAAAGTAATTTTCAGTCTTATTATCTACAGACCTAATGCGCAATAGATCATTAATCATTATCAGTATGATAGCGTCGGCAGTTTTTTTTGCTCCTCCGCATACACCCTCTGTTTGTTTCACGCACACCCACATTTTCTGTCATTATATTCATTTATTAAAAATGGACTACTTAAGTGTTAATATAGTAACAGTCAACCCTTATCTAAGGGGAAGGGGTAAGATGATAAACTATATCAACCTTTAACGTTTGATTTTATACTTAATGTGGTAAGTGAAACGACACCCTACTAAATCAATTGCTATGTTTCAGTGAATAGTATACAAATATTGTCTATGAACTGAAATGTATCACTAAGGCAAACTATTCAGTAGGTGAAAACGGATATATATATATATATATATATATATATATATATGATTATGTCTGCTTACACAAGAGAACATTTTGAGCCGTAAATATCTGGTTTCGGTAATAAAATATAATTTAGTGAATCATTTCAAGACACAGGTTGCTAAGTATTTGCCCCATACATTTTACCATGAGTCCACGCGTCTACATTGGCATGGTAGACATGTTCCCCACGAAAGTGAAAGGGTGAATACGCATACTGGTCTATCTTGGAGATTTTGAACACCCTGATTTCAAAATGATGGCGTACGTGGGCTGCAGAATCCGAACGAATAGAACAGCACATGAACCTGCTTCGGACATTGGAAACTATGGGACTCAGCTAATAAATCTGCTCCATAGCACTGCACTGTAGATCAGGCTTCAAGTCAAAGGCTTGGGGAAGGCTGGCCCCTTAGAACAACCACCTGCTTCGATCTGAATGTTAGGGTGGTATCTCAGTCCTTGAAAACAAACTAAGAGACTTTGGTTAAATCACCTCTTGGTGCCTGTAACACACTAATTTCGTATTTCAGTAAACAATAGAAGTTTTCAATGCTTTTCTAACTGATATCAATTCTTACAAACCAACTATTAAAAATTAATCTGATGCTCGCTAGTGACTTGCTACAGGATGCAGTTTCCTGGAATTATAGTGAAAAGTTGTCACCACAGTGAGATTCATCCAGTCAAGTGTGAGGATGGATGTCCCACAGATGGTTGACACTGGTTGGTGGTCGTGGTAAATCACGAATTGGTAGAAGTTAGAATTCATAGATTGGCCATTTAATCGGGTCCCAGTGGCTGAATAGTATAGGAGCTTGCCTTGTAACCAGAAGGTACTGTGTTCGAGACTAACGGAAGTGGTTGTGTGACGCCGATGATTTCCAAACTAGGATGAAACAGCAGCTGTCCAGTACTCCCTGATTTTCAGTGGTTCTCTAACCTGATATCAATCCGTTATCAACTCGTAAAAAATAGACGTCATTCCTTGAATAAATGAACTTAGAAAAGTCTATATGACAGATACAGTAGAAACACAACCAGGAAATTTTAAAATAGTAGTCAGTCAAAGACACTAACTATCTTGGTTACAGTTGTTCCCTAGTGTTTGTCACAGAATTAATTGAGATAAACAGAATTGGCGAATTTTCCCAAGAAAATGCTGCCATTTCTTCGACTTACTGAAAAGTGGGACAGATCCCATTTTGTGTCAAATATTCTGTGTTACAAGGGTGCTACAGTTAAACAAAAAAGAATTCCTTTTTTTTCTCCTAATACTTTTCAAACTAACGAACAGTAATAATTTTCAGATCTAAAATTGATTATTTGTAACCACATTGACTAGAACAATGAACACACACGCGCTAAGTTTCTTCCCATCTTAACTACCAGAGTCTCAACAGGGTCTTGAGTGTTTGAATTTCTCCTCAAAAGTTCTTACTAAGTTATTTAAAGTAGAGGAAAATAGTTTGAAGAACATAAAAGGCAAGACTCAATAAGGCACATTTATTTTTTCCACGTCAGAGATGACGAAATATAGAGGAGACAAAATTTGTGCATAGGCTATGA